ATATTACTTTTTAAATTTTAAAAACAATGCTAAGGTGTACATTTTCCTTTTTTAAGATTTTATTTATTTACTTGACAGAAAGAGAGAGACAGTGAGAGGGAATACAAGCAGGGGGCGTGGGAGAGGGAGTAGCACGCTTCCCACTGAGCAGGGAGCCAGATGCCAGGATGGATCCTAGGACCCCAGGATCATGACCTGAGCCGAAGGCAGAGGCTTAACAACTGAGCCACCCAGGCAGCCCTAAGATGCACATTCTTTGCACAAATGTGCAATCATTTACTTAAAATAAGTTCTTAGGAGTGCAAGTGCTAGGCATCAACATTTACGACACAAAATACCAAATTGCACTCTCTCCATCACCTTTACCTTGTAGCATTTAAAAAGCTCTCTGCAGGGGTGCCTGGGTGGCTCAGTAGGTTGGCACCTACCTTTAGCTCAGGTCATGATCCCACAGTCCTGTGATGGAGTCCCACATCGGGCTCCCTGCTCAGTGGGGAGTCTGCTTCTCCTTCTACCCGCTTCCCCCTGCTCATGATCTCTCTCTCTCCCAAATAAATAACATCTTAAAAAACAAAAACACCTCTCTGCACAGAGTAGTTGCTGGTAACTGATGAATAATGAACAAAAGATGTTGTACATATAAAGTCATTTATCCCTGCTTATTACATAATGCCTTTCTGGACTGTGGAACAGATGTAAACTACTGGAAGCAACATAATGCAGTAGAAAGCTTTTTCGAAGACATGAACTGCAGGCCCAACTCTGTATACCCTCACATAAATCACTTTAGTCTTGTTTCCTGATTAAGCTATCCTAATTTCTCAAGCTTACTGAGAAATTTCAGTAAAAAAAGATAAGCAAAAAGATTCTGTAAAATCAATCCAAAGGAGTATATGGATATGTTTTATTAATCCAGTGCCCTAAATCTAGTGAATCTGAAAGATGCTAGACTAATTTACCTCACAAACAGCATCAAACCCTGCTGCTGTTCCTATTTTGACCTTATTCTCTAATTTCAGTAACCAAACTCCTATCCCTCTCCCTATACCTCAGTTTGCTGCCTCCTGGTTCCACTACAAAAGGAATGAGATCCCACTCTGACCTCCTAGTCCCTGCTATCTAGAATTCTATCCACTGCCTAATACCTCCTATCTTTCAAACGTGATCTCAGCCTGTCTAGTTCTCTCTGACTTTTTCCCAATATCTATCTTCCTTGAATCTTGTAATCATGGCCAGGCTTTGGCTCATCTTAATTTTCAGTTAACAACATAAACAACAGGCAACACCAACACTCAAAATTTCTTGCTACTGGAGGAGACACCAAATTTTAACAAGCTCAGTAAACAAGTAAGCATGAACCAGAACAGATGTTTCTTAGTTCCAAACAACCACTTCTAGTTGTATTACCTACTTACCCCTTCAGAGACCTTATTATCTAATTAAATGGGAATACTGATCTCTTCTGAACATATCCAACCACATCTTTGCTCAAAGTCATTTCTATATAGAGTACTCTGGTCTCTTGATTTACTTTTTCCAAACCCATTGGTACTTCCCTTAAGAATTTCTCTGGTTACCATACCTTGAGTGATCTCTGCCTCTGAATTCCCATAGCCCTCTGCTAAACACTTTATATGGCACATACTGTTATTTATATTATATTACAGATCTAATTTCTTCCACATTAGATCTGTGGTGTCCCACATGTAGCCAGCAGCCACATGCAGCAAGTGAGTACTTGTAATGTGGCTCGCCCAAATTCTATACTTCAGATTAGTATGAAAATAGAATGCAAACTATGCCATTAAAATTTGATTTGATTACACATTGAAACAGTTGGCTGGTGCCACTGCAGAGTTTAGCAGGCTTTTATTTGCAATACAGGATCTTATGAAGGGCTGAAATCAAGATGAAATCCACTCAACTAGCTATGCACCTTGCAAAGGTGCTGTGTCTACTCAGGGGGAATAAGACTACCGCTTCACTCAAAGATGCTGTCCCTTACCAAACTGTGAACTCTAGGAGTTCTATGTATCCAAAAGGGCATGACTTTATCTAATTTGCACAGGCATCATATAAGCTAGCAATAGCCACAAGATGGGGAACCATGTCTTACTCACGTTCTACCTGCCGCATATTAGTTACTAAAAGTAGTTGAATGAATGAAGGATGAATACACAACTCTACTAGCCCTCTTCAGACACACCTCCTCTTACTATTGATGACTACATATAACACTTGATCTGGTTAAAGAACACTCTCACTAGTGCCTACCACAAATCAAAATCATTGCTTAGCCTCAAGTTTTTCTCTCCTAGCCATTATAGCACCAAATAAAAAATAATCATTATGGGGCATTTTTTTTCTTTCACAGCTTTATGCTCCCAAATAAGCATTTGATCATTCCCATTAGACCATGAAAATGCATATATGCCTTTTTAAAAATATCAGTCTAGAAACAAATAATGTAATATAAAAGAACCTATCATTCTTTCCAACCAACCTGATTGCATTTCTCTTCTTGCCTCAGAGTGCTTGACCTTGGGAGATTTCACAATTTCAGAGTGGCCCAAGTCTCCTGTGCTTAGTTTTCCTTTGGGACATGAGTCTGTACAATGCTGAATAATGCTTTTTTTCTCTTTTGTACTTTGTGTAAATTCGTCTGTATCTTTCTTGGGAATTGTTTTTGACTCTACCTTCTTAGATATGCATGACTTTTTCATTTTCTGGATTCTGTCAGAGTTATCTAAATCATTTTTATCTCCAGAATCCTTCTGATTAATTTTCTCGGTTTCTTTCTTTTTCTCCTCAACTATATTTTTTGATTCTATTTTGTTGTTAATCTGGGTTTTTTTCTTCTTCATCTTCTTTTGGTTCAATGCTTTACCATCTTCATCAGATAGATCTGAATCAGAATCTGAAAGATCATAAAAACGTTTCAAGTCCTCTGTAGTGCTGTGGTTGATAGGGCGTCCTCTTTTATCCACAGCATAATTCAACTTGAACCTTTTGTCATGAAACATTGCTCGAAATCGCTTGTCAATTTTGACTTTTCGGTCCTTTTCCGGCATTTCCCAAAATCTTGGATCTTTTGTAACCCTCCTAAACCGCTGGTCACTCATTATTTCTTGTTTGGATGCCATTTTTAAATGTCTGACTGGACAAATGCTTCAAGAAATCAAATCCTAAGAAGTGAAACAAATATTATGATAATGAAGAATTAGTTAAAAAAAGATACTTAGGAAAAAAATGCTTATTCACAATATAGTCTAAGTTAAATATAAATAAAGGTAACACATCCAATTTCATTTCCCAAACTTATTCTGAGTCACATACAGAAAAGCAAAAACTATCAGAATATCCTCTTTTGATTATAGAGCATTTGGAGAAATAAATTTAAAACAAAACCAAGCAGAATTCCAGGGCTTTACAGAGGGAGACAAACGCTTACTAGACAATTGCACTCACTTGGAATTTCTACATTCTTTTTGTATACCTGTGTACCTGTTCCAAGTTAAAAGCTAATGTAATCAAAAGTTTCCCAAGCCTCAGTTGATCCTATTTGTTTCTTCACATTCTGGTCCCACTCTTCCTGTTAGTCCTTACTTCATGCTACTACTCTGATCAGTCCTTAGCTGTACAAGGCTGGTCTCCTAACTAAATAGACTCAAATCAATTCAGATTCGATTCACAAAACTCCCTCTTTAAATCCGACCATCCTTCAAAAACCTGGTAAATTTTTATCCTAATTATTAACAAACATCATTTCTCTCTATAATTTATTATATAAGGCCCAAGTGGGCTGATTCTCCCCAAACATATTAGACTGTGTGTGGGGGGGGGGGGGAGAGGGAGAAGGAGAGAGGGAGAGAGAGAGAGAGATTAGTATTTTTCCCCATCTCGATTAGATTTTTGCAGAGCTAAGAGTCAATGATTTTTTTTTTTTTTAAAGATTTTATCTATCCATTTGTCAGAGAGAGAGAGAGCGCGCGCACAAGCAGGGAGAGCAGCAGGTAGAGGGAGACGCACGCTCCCCGCTGAACAAGGGGCCCATGGGGAACTCGATCCCAGGATCGTGGGATCACGACCGGAACCGAAGGCAGGCTCTTAACCGATGAGCCACCCAGGCATCCCAAGAGTCGTTGACTATTATGAACAAAAAGGAACTGATCAAACAGGGTAGCAATAGCAGTGCTTTGTTCTGAAAACAAGCCTTGAATTTTTCCTTAAATTTGAAAACAATTTTTATAAATCAAAAAAAGACACATAGGTTTCAATGATGCACTTATACATGAAGCATTTAGCCCTCTAAACAGTTAGGGACCGAGGTTAGGTACCATCTCATCCAACTGTGAGTGGCAATGCATATAAATATTTACAACAAAAGCATTCGATAAACGTCAGATTTTCAGACAGAGATGGGTGACCTGACCTCACCTTCCGATGCCCACCTTCACTCTCCCCTCTAACCACCCTCTAAGGCGGAGAACACCACGGTGGTGCTAGAACGGCGATCTCCTTCCCAAGCCCAAACTTCAAGGCACAGCTACTGGGCTGAGGCCCCTCAACAGGACCCTGTGGAGGACCAAGAAGTCTGAAAAATGAGACTGGAATGGGAAAGAAAAAAGGCGCAACCCCTCATGAATCCAAAGAAGACCCTGTCAAAAACCGGTTCGGCACCCTCCACAGCCCATCCTCTTGAAACCCAAACCCACTCACCTCCTCGGAGCTCTCGCCGAGTCTCACGTGCGACCCACACCCACAATCCTCTGCGTGACGCTCCGCCGTGATGGCAAGAGAGCTCGGCCAAACTACCTCCCCTTTCCTTTCTGCGGCGATCTTCGGCGCAGGCGCGGGAGCCGCGGTGGGGCATGCGCAAGATAAGTGCGCCGGCAAGTGGCGTCTCCGCTGGACATGCTGCGCCTCCGCGGTTTCTGGGTCTTGAGACTGCGGTCTCCCGCAGCTGGGGTCCCAGCAAAGAACCTCGGCCTCAGGGAGGTCGCCTCCGGCGTTTCTTCCCCGGGCAGCACCTCGCCCAGAGCCCTAAATATCTTCGATCGGGATTTGAAGAGGAAACAGAAAAACTGGGCTGCCCGGCAGCCTGAGCCGATGAAGTTCGACTACCTGAAGGAGGAGGTAAGTCCGCGGGGCAGTGGGAGAGGACGGCCCCTAGTTTTGGCGCCGGATGAGGGGCTCCAGCCAGGCCCCAGCCGACCCCACCTGAGCCCACTTCGCCCCATCTCGCCGGATGACCTTGAGCAGCTGCCCTGCCTATCTGAGCGTCTACTGTAATCACTGAGGGGGTGGGTAAGGATATTTGTACGTTGCTATTCATTCATCCATTCATTCACTCACATTAAATATTGCTTGAGTTACAGCTCTGTCAGGGGCAGAATAAGACCGCTGCCTTCAGGAGATTTCATTCTTGTGGGCGTCGGTGAACAAGAAATGTAATTTCAGCCAAAGAAGTAAGGTGAGGTGCTTAAGTGAAGTAGTATAATGACTGCGATGGTCAGAGAAGGCCGCTCAGGTAGACGACATGATGAGGAATTAGGCAAGCTAAGATCTGGAGGGAATAGCCTTATAAGCAAAGGGAAGAAGAGTTTCTGAGGCGGAAAGGACCTTATTGAGGTCTCTACTGAAGCTTCGGTGAAGGAGAGAGTGGGAGAGGAGGTCAAGGAGGGCGCAGGTTATTAGGGCAGTAGAAGATAGGAACTGTGGATTTTCTCGTCCAACTGAACTGCCCAATCAGTATGATAATCACTGGCCACATGTGGCTGTTGAGTGCTTGAAATATAGCTAGTCCCATTGAGATGCAGTGCATCTGTAAAATGCTCCGGATTTCAGTATCTTAGTGTGAAAAAAGGATACAAAATATTTCATTAGTAGATTTTAAAAAATCTTGATTACATGTTGAAATTGTAGTTTTGAGGGGCGCATGGGTGGCTCAGTGGGTTAAGCCTCTGCCTTCGCCTCATGTCATGATCTCAGGGTCCTGGGATCAAGCCCCAGAACGGGCTCTCTGCTTAGCAGGTAACCTGCTTCCCCCTCTCTGCCTGCCTCTCTGCCTACTTGTGATCCCTCTCTGTGTCAAATAAATAAAATATTTTTTTAAAAAAGAAATGGTAATTTTGATATATTGTGTTAAGTAAAATATGTGAAAAATAATTTCTCCTGTTCCTTTTTACTTTTTAAAAGTGGCTATTAGAAAATTTAAAATGACATAAATTGTTCTCATTGTTTTTCTGTTGGTCAGCCCTGCTCTAGAGGAATGTGAACCTGTTGAATGGTTTTTTGGTTTTGGTTTTGGGGATAGGGGGTGGAAAATCAACCCTGGGGCTTGATCTCACAACGCTGAGATCATTACTGGAGCCAAAAATCAAGAGTCAGTCTTTTAACCGACTGAACCATCCAGGCACTCCTAGCCTGTTGAGCACCTGGATGTCTTTAAGTAGTGGGATGATAGGATCTGGTTTATGTTTTAGGAAAATTAATTAAGATAAATTAAGATCTCTGATTTGTACTCGTTGGAAAGATCTCTTCCTCTGCCCAAGTGGGCTAGAAACTGAGGGTTTGTACTCTCTGGACACACAGCACCAACTTCAGGCCTAAGTGAATGTTTCTTTGGGAATGAATCAAAATTGATGTTAAGTGTAGTGAACTCTTAAAAGCCAAAGCAAGAAACAGTTTTTGAGCTCCTTTGGACAGAACTCTGTGCAAGTTTGGCCTGACTAGATGATTGACTGTGTTGGTTCTTAGGGCTTATAATGACATGTACTTAGAAGATGTATATTTCTAACCACTCTTCTCCAAGCAAGGTGTGTAGATTATGACTTGACTGAGGCCTTATCAATCTGTAGAACTAGAGTAAATGAGGTGAAGTATACGAATGTTCTTTTTGTAATAAACAAGTTATTCATAATAAGAATGATATACAAAGTAGACTCCTCCAGGGAAAGACTTCTGGTATACCTCTTTCCCTTCCCCTTCTTTCCCCCCAAAGCAAATACACATATGTTCTGAACCTCCAAGTCCTAGTAGAAGCTCTGGGGTGTTTATGAAGGAATAGTGGAATGTGAAGAATCTTGGGCTCTCACATCTTTGTTCCTGACAGATGAAGCTAGCCTGGCAAAAGGAAGCACTTTCCTTATGGCCTCTTCTAGATTGGGGTGGGACTGGGAAGAATAGCATGAAGCGCAGTTCCTTCAGATCTGACTCACTTTCTAATTTGCACGTGTTCCTTGGAAAAGTTGTTTACTTGTTTAGTTGTTTCACAGAATTTCCTATGAGTCTTCAAATAATAGAGTTTTTAAGTGATCATTTATACATTGATCTGTAATAAACCCTAGCTCACAATATTTTTTCACTTTCATATACTTCATGCTAATATCTCTGGACAATAATGTATCTGTTATACTCCTGTTGCTTCTTATCCTTATAATCTTATATAGAAAGTAGAATGTAAAGGCCAACGTATACATACATATTCATGGATAGTTAGTCTTGGATTCATTAAATGGACTTCTGAAGTAATTCACTTCAATTTGTTTCCTGGGATAGTATAATTTATTGTGTTTATAATTTATGGTCAGATTTATATATTTGTGGTCAGTTGAAAATGAGATAGTGAGAAGTGCTTAACAATATGTAGAAACATAAGTAACCTGTGGATTATTGAATACTGAAAAAGTGTTGCTCCTTTGTTAAACCTATTCAACTTGTATACATCATTGCTGCTTGTAATCCTTCAGGTTGGAAGTCGGATCGCAGACCGTGTGTATGACATCGCCAGGTATGTGATAATTATCATAATAAAATGCAATTAACTTTTGGCTGAAGATTCAAGAGATTGAATGTTGAGAGCTTAATGTTTTGAATGGCAGAATCTGAAGGAATTTATTACCAGGATTAGTGATTTTAATCACTTTTTAAGTCTCTCCCTCCCCCCCTTTTTTTTTTAATTTGAGAAAGAGAGTAAGAAAGAAAGCAGGAGCACAGGGAAAGAAAGAAGCAGACTCCCAACTGAGCAGGGAGACTGATGTGGGGCTTAATCCCAAGACCCTGAGATCATGACCTATGCCAAATGCAGATGCTTAACTGACTGAGCCACCCAGGCGCCCCAGATCGCTCCTTTTTTATGTCTGGAGAGCGAGTGTTCTTTTTTTCCCCCTTGTTGCAAAAAAAAAAAAAAAAAAAATAGAAGCACAACTCATAGCTTCTTTATGAGCTTGAATGACTGATTCAGTTTCATTTGGCTAAAAGCCAGTAATGAAAACATTGCTACAAAAATGAAGATGAAAATTGACCACCTGTGAATTTTTAAGATTTAATAAATCTAATTTAACTACAATTAACAACAGAATCTTTGACTAAGTGAAGGAAAGAGTCTACCTAGATTTATTCCCCACTCAGGTTATATGAGACTTTGGCCATTTTATCTTAAGTATTGTTAATGGCAGTAGGTTTCTATGACAATTATATAGTGGCAGATTTGAGAACACGTTGATGAAGTATTAAAACCATGGGTGCCTGGGTGGCTCAGTGGGTTAAGCCTCTGCCTTCGGCTCAGGTCATGATCTCGGGGTCCTGGGATCGAGTCCCGCTTCGGGCTCTCTGCTCGGCGTGGAGCCTGCTTCCTCCTCTCTCTCTCTCTGCCTGCCTCTCTGCTTACTTGTGATATCTCTCTGTCAAATAAAAAAAAAAATTATTAAAAAAATAAAACCTTGATGAATTCATTGCTCTGTATTAGGCATAACAAAAATTTTACAAATTCAAGTTTATAGATGTGTGGCAGGAACCACATAAATAATAGTTAAATAATGTCTTTACTGTAGAATTGTTCTATGATGTTAGCAAATCACTTTTTTGTGCTCTTTTTTTCCTAAAGACATCCATTAAATTAGATCAGCATGGGATGAATTTATTACATTTGTTTATAAAAAGGGGAATTTTTTTTTTTTTAAATCAAAAACTCAAGTCATTTTTTAGAGATATTCTTTCTACTTAAAATAGTTTAGGGATGAATTAATTTCATATGGTAAAAAATGCTTGTTACAGATAATCACCCCCATTTCATCTGTTTTATTCCATTATTTCAAGGATCTGAAACAAATAGCTAGTTCTCTGTACTGCAGTCATTTGCCTGGATTTTAGGCCATTGATTAAAAATGAAACAAATTTTCCAAATTAGTATGGATTTTGCAGTCTTTTATGTCATAGTACTGAGCAAAACATCGATCTACAGAGAGACTTGGGATTGTGGCTAAAAGCATGTTTTAAACTAACATTAACTCTTTATAACTAAATTATTAAAAATACAGTCTAAAAAAATACCAGTGTAAATGCCCTTGCACTAACGTTCTATTGTTACAAAGTATAGTTTATATTGTCCACACTGATCTCTGTTGATTCTTAAAAAACTTAACCCCACAGATTATTAAGTGTCTTCTTTGTGATATCTGAAGTCCATTTAATTACTTTTATAAACTGGGGGCTCCTGGGCGGCTCAGCGGGTTAAGTGTCTGCCTTTGGCTCAGGTCATGATCCCAGGGTCCTGGGATTAGGCTTCCTGCTCAGTGGGGAATCTGCATCCTCCTGTCCCCCCACCATGTGCGCATGGGCATGCACTCTCTTGTCTCATGGATAAATAGATCTTTTTAAAAAACTGTTATAATCTGTGATAATAATAACTCATAACCAACTTTTGTTGAGCATTTGTACTATGCTAGATACTTTAAATGCACCATTTCATAAAATTCTCTTGAGGGAGGGAGTAACTTTTTCATTTTATAGATGGGGAAACACTCAGTAAGATTAAATCACTTGTCCATGGTCACAGAGCTAGTAAATTGCAGGCCCAGAATTCTAAATCTTGTCTTTCCGATCCCAAAGCTTGTATACTTTTATCATGTCATACTGCCTGTGTTCACAATCAAGATAGAGGGCATTATGTAAGTAAATGGTTCTTTCTCACCACCAGTTCTCTGGTGTTCTATATTTTTGACGTAAGTTTTTAACAGAAATTGAAAAAGGACTCCTAATTTTGGTTCCAGTAGAAAAAATGTTACTAGTGGATAAAACTTTTAAGTTTTCTTGTCAATGAAATTGGCTCACAATTAGATGTGTGAACTGGTTTTGTATATACTTAGAGGAGGCAATGTAGTATGGGAGATAATAATTCTCGTTCAGCACAGTGAGATACCTCCTCACACCAGTCAAATAGCTAAAATTAACCAGTCAGGAAACAACAGATGTTGTTGAGGATGCAGAGAAAGGGGAGCCCTCCTACACTGTTGGTGGGATTGCAAGCTGGTGCAGCCACTCTGGAAAACAGTAGGGAGGTTCCTCAAAAAATTGAAAACAGAGCTACCCTATGACCCAGCAATCACACCACGGGGTATTTACCCTAAAGATACAAATGTAGTGATCCGAAGGGGTCTGTGCACCCCAATGTTCATAGCAGCAATGTCCACAATAGCCAAACTATGGAAAGAACCAAGATGTCCATCAGCAGATGAATGGATAAAGAAGATGTGGTGTATACACACACACACACACACACACACACACACACACACACACACACACAAAATATGGAATACTATGCAGCCATCAAAAAACCCGAAATCTTGTCATTTGCAACAACATGGATGGAACTAGAAGGTATTTTTTTTTTTTAAAGATTTTATTTATTTATTTGACAGAGATCACAAGCAGGCAGAGAGGCAGGCAGAGAAAGAGGAGGAAGCAGGCTCCCTGCTGAGCAGGGAGCCCGACACGGGGCTTGATCCCAGGACCCTGAGATCATGACCTGAGCCGAAGGCAGCAGCTTAACCCACTGAACCACCCAGGTGCCCCAAGAATTAGAAGGTATTATGCTGAGTGAAATAAGTCAATCAGAGAAAGACAACTATTGTATGATCTCTCTGATATGAGGAATTTGAGAGACAGGGAGGGGGTTGTGGGAGATAGGGAGGGAAAAAATGAAACAAGATGGTACCAGGGAGGGAGACAAACCGTAAGAGACTCAATCTCAAGAAACAAACTGAGGATTGCTGGGGGGTGGGCAGGGAGGGATAAGGTGGCTAAGTTATGGACATTGGGGAGGGTATGTGCTATGGGGAGTGCTGTGGATTGTGTAAGACTGATGATTGGCAGATCTGTACCCCTGGGGCTAATAATACATTATATGTTAAAAAAAAAAAAATTCTGGTTCAGGATTCTGACCAACTGAATTCAAGTTCTGATTACTGCTTATTAGTTGAGTGACCTTGGGTTGACTTACTTTGAACACTTAGCATATTGCTTTGAACCTGCTATGATTTTAGTAAAAGTTAGCTACTATTTAGTTGGTGTTTTGTTTTTAGTTTAATGTACTAGTGTTTTATGGTATTTTACATGATGATTTTTAAGTTATCTGCTGCCTCGACAAATTTGAGAAAAAGGGATCATTAAGTTCCTGACAGCTATGCTGATATTTTCATGTTAATTTATGTTAGCTTCTTTTCATTCTTTATTTGTGTAATTAAATTAAAATATCCGCACTAAATTTGTTCTTTGAATCCACATCATGGACCAACCTCATGGGAAGCCAGTTGGCTGTGAGGTCCTGTGAATGTCTGGAACAGATAGACTTGCTCCTTCAATATGTTCTCTGGTAGAAACAGCTTATAAGGTGAGGCAGAAAAGGCAGATGGTGTAACTTTTTGAAAGTTGTGTTCATTAAAATGTTTTTACTTAAGAAAAATCAGTTTTAGTAATTGTTCTGTGGACTCTTATTACAGACAAAATATAACTTCTGTGTCTATTTTTTAGAAATTTTTCCCTTGCTTTGGATGTTGGCTGTGGAAGAGGATACATAGCACAACATTTGAACAAGGTATATGTGTTAAGTGACTTAATTTACCTTAAGAAATAAAATTGACTATTGTTAAAGAAAGTCTTCCTTAGTTCAGTTTGTATCATATTTAGATTTTTTTTTTTTTAATTTACTTGACGGAGATCACAAGTAGGCAGAGAGGCAGGCAGAAAAAGAGGCAGAAAGAGGCTGAGCAGAGAGCCCGATGTGGGGCTCAATCCCAGGATCCTGGGATCATGACCTGGGCCGAAGGCAGAGGCTTAACCCACTGAGCCACCCAGGTGCCCCTCATATTTAGATTTTATCAAAATCACTAAATTTTTTAAAAATGGTGAACCAATGGTTGTTTTGTGTCTCCTCTTAAGTATTTTTTTCTTAAAGTGGTTATTTATTTCAATCTGTTTTATATAGTGATTCCTACTTAAAATTTCTTTAAATCTGTATAAGATGTGTTGCTCTTCATTCTCATTTTGTGCAAATGTTTTTGATACTTCAAGTAAAATCAGATTGACATTCATTTGGAAAATATTATTAAGCTAATCTTTTATCTGAGAAAAATATTAAATTTATCATTAATTAGAAATGTTTCTATGTGATTGTATATAAGTATCTTTTTTAAGGCTTACACCATTTTATTTTGCCTTTTCTAATTCAGACAATAAAGACATTTGTTTATCATTTTAGCTCCTGAATATATGACACTGTGTTGGACACCAGATTACAGTGGGCTTTCTATATTGAATCTACTTCAAAAAAAACATACACTTGGGCCAGGCTGGTAGGAGTAGGGTGTGAGAAGCTCCCAAAACACTGTTGTCATGGACAGGGCAAATCTATTCTTCTAGTTGCTCAGGCCAGAAAACTTGTTCATTGATGCCTCTTCTGTCCTCACCTCCCACATTGAATCCATCAACAAATATTACTTGGATTTCAAAATATATCCGTAACTACCACTTCCTACTACTTTCATTATTATCATACTAGTCTGTACTGCAATAGCCTCCTTACTGGCCTCCCTGCTTCTACCCTCGCCCTCAACAGTCCATTCTCACAGCAAAGTAATTCTTTTAAAGCACAAGTCATTTCATTGCCAGCCCTCTGCTCAGAACTGTTGAGGCTTCTCCTCTAATTCAGTAATAATCCAAATTCTTAATCCATAAGGCCCTCAGTGATCTGGCTCCCCTAACATTTATCTGGCCGTATGTCCTTCCCCTCATTCCTTACTTTTCAGCAACCCTGACCTTCTCACTGTCTCTCAAACTGGCCAGGGCTTTGCATTATACTTGTTGTTCTCTGTTCTTCCTCATGATATCTGGGTGGCTTACTTCCTTACCTGTTTCAGGTCTTTGCTCAAATGACTCTTCATCAAAGATTCCTTTCCTGACTGTTCTATAAAATAGGGTCCCCACTCTCCACTGGTTATTTTCCTGTTTCCATAGCTTATTTCCATTTATTTGTTGGCATCTGTTATATGTTTGTTTAATTGGTATCTCTCTTTTCTTACTAGAATATAAATGCCATAGTCTTTCTCATTTGTGGTCACTGCTAAGTTCTCATTACCTAGAATACACAGTGAAGATTTGTTAAGTTAATATTGCATGAATAAATGCAAGATAACTTTGAAGTTACTACTTCAGTGACCGGAAAAAGTCAGGGGGTGTAGGGGGCAAGGAGCCCGGGAATTTCCCATTTTAAATATGTTACGTTTGAGGTAACAGTGGACTATTTTTAGCGTTAATGTCTGACAGGTAGCTGGAAATAGAGAACTGGAATTGGGGTGTTGAGGTTAAGAGCACTGACTTGAACTTGGACAGTTAGAGATTTCAAATTCTGCTCTGCCACTTACTGACTATATACCGTTGGACCAGTTACCCAACTTCTCCAGACTTCAGTTGCTGTAAAATGTGAGCAGTAATACCTATCTCCAAAGGTTAGCAAGAGGATAAAGTGAGACAAGGTTACGTGGAGGCTATTGTTCTTATTTGGAAGCCTGTCAGAGGTGATAACTGAAGCCATGGGAATATAAGCTTACTTGAGAAGCATATAGAAAAGAACCATCCACAATTGTTTCTGAGGGTGGGAGAATGAAGAGGAATTACACTACGGAAACTGGCAAACACTACAACTCAGGGGACTTTTTTTTTTTTTTTTTTTTTTTTGAGGCCTGTAGTTAAACATTCACTTGCATACCAGTTGCACTTGACTAGTTAGCAGTGACCAGGCAATAATAGGGTACCCTTTCCAAGTTGTGGGCAAGAAAGTTCTTTAAGAAGGGGGTGTGCGTGAAGTGGAAAGGATCAGAAGGAGGGGAGGCAGAGTAGAAAGTACTGAAGAAGTTTCTAGGAGACCACCAACAGTGCTGGACTTCAGAGAGGTCAAGTAAAGTAGGACTGAGAGCAGACATGCTGTTTTAGTTGATTAGGTTGTTAACAATCTTTGTAAATAGTCTTGTTAGAGCAGTGAAAGTTGGAATAGGTTACGAAGAATTGAGGAGAAAAACATTGAGAATTGGAGTTGTAGATTGCAAGCAGAACAACTAGAAGGTAGAGGTGAGGAGAGATTAGGAGGCTTACGCCTGTTTCAAGGTAAGGGAAGGAGACACAGAAGATAGAGATGGAAGATTGATAGAGATGATGACGGGGGCGGCAGAATCTGGAGAAAAGAGCATAGTGGAAAGTGTTATTCTGGGAAGGAAATGGTGCAGGGCTCTTGGAAGAAAGAAAGGAGAGATGAAATAGGGAAAAATGAAACCAGTGAGTTCCCCTTCTCCCCAAGTGTCTGCATTTATTAAGTCTTTCTTTACTCTTTGTAAACTCTTTGAATGAACAACTGAAAGGTCCAGGTCTTTTGTGGCCCAGGAGCGGAGACCAACTCTCAGCCCGTTGTGCTATGGAAAAGTTAACACATAAGCCTAATCCAGTGGCTTAACTGAAGAGGTTGATTACTCACACCTCTGTTGTGTATTTTTTAAATATAGTTAAATGTGTTAAATATAGGCATGATTGCATTTATTCAAATCTGTGTAACTTCCTATATGTTATTAAAGCTAATAGTTTACCATACTGGTTTTATTGCAGAAAAATACCCTTACAAAGCTGAAAATGACTCTATGATTGCCACTTTATCCTTTAGCAATTTCAGCAGTTATTTTGTTTTGTCAGTGGCTTTTTGTTTATTTTGTCTTACCTGATTAACTTTATTCCATTGCAGGAAACTGTTGGAAAGTTTTTCCAAGTAGACATTGCAGAAAATGCTTTGGTAGGTACCCTTATAATAGTCATGATTTCTGATCTCTTTGTTTTATTTTTAGTTTTTTATTTTTATTTCCTTCAAAATGAAAATAGGGTTTTTTTTCCCCCTGATTATATACAGTACATATAAAGAATTAAACAATACAGGAAATGTAAAGGGGAAAGAAAATATCATCCCTGGTTCCACCATTCAGGGGCAACCACGGGTGACATTTTGATCTCCATCTTTGCAGATGTATAACTGTCTCCCAACATATAATTTTATACAGGTAGTATAATGGTAACATGCCATGTTTTTCACAGGGTATCATTCTTTTATATCAGCAAATGATACATATACACCCAAATTCCACCTTTTTAAATGGCTATATAGTATTCCAATATAAGAATATTCCATGGTTTATTTAGCTAAATTTCTATTGAATGGCAGCTATATTTCTGTTTTCTTAATAACCAGTACTGTAAAGAACATCCTTATATAAAGCCACTTGGTACATTTGATTTCTTTTTCTCCCTGGAAATAAATTCCTAGTAGTAGAATTTACAGATTCATTGATGTTCATCTTTAAATTTTTGATATATATCAGACTGCCATTAGAGAGAAAGAAAGGGTCTTAGGATTGAGCCCAGCATCTGGCTCCCTGCTTATCAGGAAGCCAACTTCTCCCTCTCCTGCTCCCTTTGCTTGTGTTCCCTCCCTCGAACGCTTTCTCTCTCTCTGTCAAATAAATAAATAATCTTAAAAAAAAAAAAAAGAGGGGCACCTGGGTGGCTCAGTGGTTTAAAGCATCTGCCTTCGGCTCAGGTCATGATCCCACAGTCCTGGGATCGAGCCCCACATTGGGCTCTCTGCTCAGCAGGGAGCCTGCTTCATCCTCTCTCTCTTTGCCTGTTTCTCAGCCTACTTGTGATCTCTGTCTGTCAAATAAATTAAAAAACAAAAAGATACATTTAAAAATAAAAGAAATACTTCTTTAGCTTCTTTGTGGCTCTTTCTTTTTTTTGGAAGGAATAGGAATTGCCAAGTAAATATGACATTGACTTAAATTTAACAGTGATTGCATTAGTAACTGAGATTCTATATGAATGTATTTTGAATTTTTATTTTTTAACCACTAGAAAAGTATCTTAGAAATGGAAATTCCTACTGTCAGCATTTTAGCTGATGAAGAGTTCCTTCCCTTCAGAGAAAATACATTTGACTTGGTGGTTAGCAGTTTAAGGTTGGTAATCCATTTGTACTTCTTAAAAATGTATGTTATAAATAAATAATTTATGATGTACAGTTTTAATATTATGGGGTAAAGAAAAAATAATGAAGTAAATTCTTAATAATTTTTTTTAAGTCACAAACCAGTTTTCTTATAAACTATAAGATTTCTCTGGCAAAGAATAATGAATTATATGTTCCCTAGTGGAGTTGATACGGTATCAGAGTACCTTAACTTTTTTCTCCACAACTTTTTTTCAATTTGCTAAAGCTCATCTGTGATAGAAGAGTTTCTTCCCCAGGATACATAACTTAGTATGCGTATTGATGGAGGCAGGATTTGGAAAGAGTATACTGGCTCCAGCATTCAAATATTAGAGCAGTCTTAGAAACTCATCTCCGCCAATAAGGAAAAGCGAGTGTTTCCTTCAACTTCAATTTTTCTTCCACACAGAAATATAGTCCTTAAGGTTATGTTTTCCCATTTGTGCTTCCTACTGTGTCCCCTCCACATTGGTTACACAAACATATAAATATGTTACACAAACATATAAGTGTTTATTAAATAGATTGTAATATGTGAGGCTCTGAGCTTGATGCTTTGGGGAAATACACAAATGAGTCCGGACAGAGATCCTGTCCTCAAACAACTCAGCAGTAATAGTTTGTGTGTAACTTTATTTCCCCTATCTCATTTTATATTCAGATTTTCTTAAAAAATTCAACATGCTCTGCATGTCAGCACAGCCCTTTTGATAGCTGTCAACCACCAGTCACTGTGGTTCACCTAAGACTTTGGCAGGGTTAGCACTGAAAGGCCTATCTCCCAGGAACCCCTCATTCCCAGACAGACTGGGAGACAGACTGGGAGAGTCGTACTCTAGCTTTTTCTTCAGTGAGTTTGTAATTTCTTCCATGCTTTTTAAGGTATGCTAAGCAAATTTAGAAAAGTACATTCTATCATGAAATGAAAAACATTATAGAGAATGTTGGTCTAAGGGAAAGAGCCCTGGGCGGGGAGTAAGAATGAGTTTTAGCTCTTCTGCTTGCTTTTTGCAAGTACCTAATTCTGTTGCTTTCAGTTTCCCCATAAGTATGATACAGCTTATGATATGACCTTCTTCATTTTTAAACTATCTAATAATTACTAGAAAGCATTATGAAAGATAAATGTGATCTTAACATAGTATGGTTTGAAATGGGTATTCAGTGCTATCCTGGAAGTCAGTATAAGAGGATGCCACTTCTGTCAGGAAAGTATGACCATACTCTACAGAGACTGTGATTCTTGCCATCACATATCACCACACACTGGTAGGGGGTGAATAGAGGCAAAATAAAATGCAAGAAATTTACTATATTAAGTTTTAAATGCTTTGTAGTATTTATAGTACTGTCACATTTTCTAGTGTGACAGAAGGAAAGTTTTCCCCTAGGAATATTTTTTACTTTGAAACTTGTATGAGGGGCGCCTGGGTGGCTCAGTGGGTTAAAGCCTCTGCCTTTGGCTCAGGTCATGATCCCACAGTCCTGGGATGGAGCCCCACATTGGGCTCTCTGCTCAGCAGGGAGCCTGCTTCATCCTCTCTCTCTTTGCCTGCTTCTCTGCCTACTTGTGATCTCTGTCTGTCAAATAAGTAAATAAAAATCTTAAAAATAAAATTAAAAAAAAAAACTTGTGTGAAAACAATCAGTGAATTTTGATATGCAACTTCACATTTCAAAATTAATATCTTTTTGTTGGCTTTTATTTATAGGAGTGATAATTATACCAATTAATTATATGAATTAAGCTAAAAGCAATATGTTATTAATATTCTAGTTTACACTGGGTGAATGACCTTCCTAGAGCGCTTGAACAGGTAAGAAACTTAATGTTGATTCTAATAGCCTGTGTTATTTTATTAGTAGAAACTTCTAAATATTTCTACTTTTTACCAGAAACTTCAGATATTTTCCGTTTTATACTTTTGACAGTTGGAAATGGAACCAAATCAAATATTTATTATCTTCTATGGGCCAGATATAGTTGGTGCCCTGTGGCATATTAAGAAGTACATTGAGTGACTCCCTTGTCTAGGAATTCAAGAAATCTAATTATGGAGATGTTTCAAATATTTATGAAAAGTCATACAAAATAACTTGGACAAAATAATATTGACATCACATTGATAGAAGACATTTCCTATGTGGGTCCCTTTTCTTAATTGCCTACAAGTTTTGTGTGGGGAGGATACTATTTCTTCATATTTGTGTCTTCCCTACACCTTATAATTCGTGTGAGGTATATTTGTTGGTTGACATTTATCAGTGAACTGGTGAAGAGTAAGTAAAAAGCATTGTGTTCAGAAGAGGGAAGGGGATCACTGTGATTTGGAGTGGCCTCGGAAAGCTTCAAGAAGCAGAAATTACTTGAGCAGGGCCTTTGAGGATAGGTCAGATTTGGGGCAGGAAGGCAGAATCACAGGGTAGGTAGGTGGGAGGTAAAAGAGACTCAGGAGCATGAGGGACAGAGAGGAAGCCTGTTAGGAGATTAATGTACTAGGAGATAGGGCATATTGGGACCAGATTTAGGGAGACTTGGGTAACAGATTAAGGAATTTTGAGTTCATTCTTTATGCAATTCAGAGCTGCTAGAGAATTTTGAAGAGGAAAGTGATGTGATTAAAAGGCTGGTAGGCAGGATAACTACCACATCTTAAGCACATACTGTTTGCCAATCGCTGTGCCCTGTTTTATATGTGCATTAAATAAATAACTCTGTAGGATGTCTTCATTTTGCTACTTGGAAAACTTATGCCAGAAGTTTTGGTTCAATTAAAGAGACTGTTTCCATGGTCCAGGCATGAGAGAAACTAAAGCTAGGTGGCAGTGGCAGGAATTAATAGGAAGAGAGGGTATTCAGTTTGGTGGCTGGTTGGATCTGAAGATCAAAGACAGGGAGGGGTCCAAGCTCACCTTAAAGTTGAGTCTGGATGCCTGAAAGAGTAATTAGTAAAAACAGAGGAAAGAATGGTAATGATCAGATAAAGGGAATGGAAAATGGTAACTGACAGAAATACAGCAACTGGAGAGGGGAGTGGGTTTGAGAATTAAGTGTTGTGTGTGTGTGTTGGTTGTGTTGGGAGGGTGATTTTGCCAAGATACAAATGGCCATGGCACAGGTAAATGAAAATGAGTTTAGAGTTCTGGGAAGATGTCCAGACTAAAGATAGTGATTGGAAATCATCCTTATGAAATCCATGGGAATTGATAAGCCCCTCTGAGGTAGAAAGAAGCTGCAGAGAGCTGAGGACTGAATCTTAGGTCCTTGCTCTATTGTAGTTTGGGGATAAGAGAAGGAAGCAAAGAGGTGGAAGGGAAGAAAGCAAAGATTTTAGGGTTGGTTTGCTTATACACTGTTTTGAAATTGCTTCATAAATTTAAATATAAATTTTAAGATAGATACTTCAATGAGAGAGCCTACTACGATTTGGGGTTTACTTCAGAATCTCCCTTTTTCTGTAACGTTCCTCATTGTTGAGAATAGTTCATCAAATCTAGTTATAGATGGTAGTTCTAAGAGAGTCAGTGAGTAAACATTTATGATTCTGGAAGCCATTATAGCCACTATTTTGCTTGAGTTATCAATTAAAAATTGCTTTTGTTTGAAAGTTGGAAATAAGTTAGTTACTTCTCCTTAAAGGAAACTAATGTTTGATTGGGTTAATGTGAATCATAATAATTTCTGTATAAATTAGCTTATTCTGCTAAAAAGCAACCCCAGCTTAACAATTTAAAACAACAGTTTACTTAGCTCAGGATTTTGTGGATGGGGTGGGAATTCGTGTTGGCATTAGTTAGGAAATCCTTCTGGGTCTGGCTTGGCTCGTGAAGCCAGTATCTGTGATCTATTGCTAGATCAGAGCTGGCCTCTCAAGAGTGGCATTAGCTGGGATGTCTCAGAGATCTCTGCTCATACCTCTCAGCCCTCACCAGGCTAGCTCAGGCTCGTTCACAGCATGGTGGCAGCACAGGGAATCAGGTAAGGCCATTTCGAACTTTGGTGTGACCCTGGCACACTGCCACTTGCACTGCATTCTTTTGGCTGCAGCAAGTCACAAGGCTGTCCCAGATTCAGGGAGAGGGGAAATAGCTTCATTTTCTGATGGAGTTGTTTGATGGGAGTGATGTGTAAAGGGCACAGTAGAGGTTTGTGATTTTTGCAATCTACCACACTTTTAAATTTTTTTCTTTTAGTATTTTCTCATAGAAGTAATTTTTGTCTATTATTAGAAGAGTTGAAAACATTCAGTATATCTTAGAGGTATTAATGCTATCAATGAATTATTGCCTATCTTTGTAATATTACTCTGCAGTTCCTTTCTGACATTTGGTTGCCTTAGGTGTTATTTATTTTCTCATTATTTGACAAAATAAGAATGGTAATTGTATAATATTTAGTGCATGTTCATTTAACAGATATCAGTTTTTCTCCTTCTAACATTTTTAATATAAAATTCTAACTACTTTTGTTGTCTTGTATTTATTATAGATTCATTACGTTTTAAAACCAGATGGAGTATTTATTGGTGCAATGTTTGGAGGTGACACACTCTATGAACTTCGGTGTTCACTACAGTTGGCAGAAACAGAAAGGGAAGGAGGATTTTCTCCACATGTTTCTCCTTTCACTGCTGTCAATGACTTAGGACATCTGCTTGGGAGAGCTGGCTTTAATACACTGACTGTGGTAACTATCAAGAGAGTTGCTTAATTCTCATTAACCCATTAATCACACAGTTCAGAAACAACTTCTTATTTTAAAGTAAAAATATGTAGGTATTAATGGTATCATAGAGAGGTTTTTGCACTTTTTCTCTCTTTAAATTTAGTTTGTATAAACACGTCTTGATTGATAAAGGTAGGAAAGTGAAATTTTTAGTATTTGGTGTCTGAAAATGTAGCTCAAAAAATCCAAACCAAGGAGATTGTTTTCCAAGACTTACTATTCCATTAGAATCTTTAAAACCAAAGTTGCACATAATATGAGACAGCATTTTAGATGATGGAGAAAAGGAGATGTGCAGGAGCATTTACAGCTCTACCTCTACCACCAGCCCTTAACTGAAATGAGGCAGAAATGAAGGTATGTGCATTTTCGGTCAACAGTAGAAAATCAACAGTAGATGGTAGGGAAAAAAAAAACAAAATGGTAGGAAAGAGGGCTATACTCCATTAGGGCTAGAGAGATCTGGAAAGAGGACCTATAGGCTATCAGAAGAAACATGGAGTCAGCATGGTACAGTGATGGTATGGGGCATAGATGTCTGACAGGTGTAATTTGGTTCCTTATCTTGTCCCTTTACTAGCTAGGGAAATTTGGGAGATTTAATTCACTTCTTTGAGCATTCTTTTTTTTTTTTAAAGAAAGTCAAATGTTTCTCACCTCAGGTGGCAATTAGAATTAAGATAAAGGATGTGAAATACCTGGACCATGGTAGATGCTTAATTAATATTTGCTCCTGCCTTCCTCTCTCCCCATCCTCATACAACTAGTACTTTGCCATCCAAGGCTTCCAACAGGGAGTTATCTGGAGAGACAATTGCCCCCTTCCAGCTCCTTTCACTGGCATAGTCACTCTAAAGGATAGTCACTATGCCTTCAGAGGTCAGTTGAGTAGACTTGCTATGATTTCCAAACCCCTCAGGTTTAAACACATCTCTATTTTGGAGGAAATAGGAATTTACTGACGAAGGAAGCTTCTCATTGATGATAGGCTTAAGACTGAAATAACCATTTAAGGAGATTCAGTGTGAATATATTTCATAAAATCAACCAACCAAGAAAAGTTTGTCCTGTTCTTCCTTGTTTGGGTAGAAAGCACAGAGCATAAACCATAGACCATGAGGGTCTCTGAAGTTGGAAAGGGGCCTCAAGAAGGGAGGAGACAGTAGGCTAGGAAATGATAGCAACCCTCAAGATTTCACAGCTGTGTCTTTTGTAAACTGCTAATGGCCTGAGTCAGCAGACAACAGTCAGCTGTTGGCAGCTGGAAAGGGGGAAAGCTCTGCCTCATGTGAGGGTTCTGCTTTATAATTAAAGCGAACACCGACAAGCACAGGCAGTTGTACAAGAGGGATCACTGTGTATTTTTCAACACTTTTTAATTATATAAACAATAACACAAACATATTTTGTAAACATTAAACTGTACATATAAAGTGGCAGTTTGTTATTTGCCTTTAATCCCTCCAAATCTTAGCTCTCTCCTTTAAGAAACAGTTCTCAAAATTTTGCTTTTAGGACCATGCTACACACTTAAAATTATTGGGACCTTAGAGATCTTTGGTTATGTGGGTTATATCTATCAATATTAACTAAATTAGAAATTAAAACTGAATTTTAGTATTTACTAATATGTTTAAAACTAACATAGTGGGGGCACCTGAGTGGCTCAGTGGGTTAAAGCCTCTGCCTTCGGCTCAGGTCATGATCTCAGAGTCCTGGGATCGAGCCCCACATCGGGCTCTCTGCTCCGCGGGGAGCTTGCTTCCTCCTCTCTCTCTCTCTGCCTGCCTCTCTGCCTACTTGTGATCTTTGTCTGTTAAATAAATAAATAAAATCTTAAAAAAAAAAACAAACTAACATAGTGTACCTATTATGTGTTAACATAAAAAAAAAACTATGAAAGAAACTATTTTCCAAAAGAAAAATTTAGAAGAATGTCATTGCTTTACATTTTTACAAATTTCTTAAATGTATGACATAATAAAAGCGCTAAATTCTCATCCTTCTTCTGCAGTCATAAGACTATTAAAGTATCACGTCACGTAACTTATGAAAAATCCGTTGTACTCATGAAAGATTGAGAGGTGAAAAAGCCACATAGCATCTTAGTATTATTATAAGAATAGTTTTGGGGGGAAAAAAGAATAGTTTTTAACTTTTGACTTTGTGGACCCCTCAAAGGTGTGCCTTCTTGCAGTTTTCTATGTTGTAAGTGGACTGTGCATTTTAGAAAAATTTCTGCTGGAGCCCTGGGTGGCTCCGTCAGTTAAGCGTTCAACTTGATGTTGGCTCAGGTACAGGATCTTGGGGTCTTGAGATTGGGTTCTGTGCTCAGTGCAGAGTCTGCTTGAGATTCTCTCCTCTGCCCCACCTGACTAGCACACGCATGCTCCATAGATAAATAAAATTTTAAAATTTTCTACTAAAAATGTTTAACCTAACATAGCACTTAAAATACTACATTTCTGTTAGTTGGGAAATCTATTAAAATACCTTCTCTATTCTTCTCTAAAAAATGAGCTGAATAACTCAATAAGATAATACAAAAATATTGGTGTAGAATCTTCTTTGTGGATTATAAAAATTAAGAGAGTTGCAAATTTAATAATAAATATATACAGATTTGTTCCTTGGTACATTTACACTGTGTCTAATATGTTGTATTAACATTATATCATAGTTCATTGTCTAAAATATCTCATCCCAAACAGCTAATAAAATCCATTACACAGGTTTATGGTGCATACAACATTAGGTATATCATTTTTATACTGCAGTGGGTTTTTATTTTTAACATGAGTTCAAGATTTGCCTGTTTACATTTATGTGACTTTCATAATGAATTATTTTCAGGGTTAGTGGGCATTCTGAATGAGGCTCATTTCCTTTTAGAATAGAGTTGCCAGACTAATATATTAGGAGGAAACAGCAGATAAGGTCCATCTTAATTTGAGTAAGGACTTTGACAAAGCAGTTGTAGTATTCTTTGGATTAAGATGGAGATAGTGCTTTTAGTTTCATTGAAAGATTGTTTTTGACGGATCTTGCTTAATGGCTACGTTTCAGGCTGGAAGGAATTTTGTTTTTAATCTTATGATTTCTTTTTTTTTTTTTTAAGACTTTTTTTATTTATTTGACAGACAGAGATCACAATTAGGCGGAGAGATAGGCAAAGAGGAGGAAGCAGGCTCCCCGCTGAGCAGAGAGCCAGATAATGGGGCTTGATCCCAGGACCCTGGGATCATGACCTGAGCTAAAGGCAGGTTTTAACCCACTGAGCCACCCAGGTACCCCGATCTTATGATTTCTTATTAAAAAATAGTTTCCTAAGGTAGAAAAACATAGAGAAGAAAGTGACTACCCAGAGATGGTCTTATTAAAAAGTGCACATACAACATTGCCATGCATGTGTTAACAAGAAAAGAAATTTTTAAAAAATGTATAGATAAAATGAGATAAACAGAGCAGGTCTAAAGTAAAAGAAGTCTCCTCCTCCTGACTTCTGATACCTGGACCCTCGCCCCAAAGATGACCATTGTTGTGTGTATATCCTTTCAGAACAATTTTTCATTACACACCTTTATACAGTTATGTCATTTAAACATATATTTGCAACAATATGTATGCGTGGTTGCTTTTTTTTCTATGAGTACTCTTAGGTTTCTTTTTAGTTAATAGCATATTTTTTTTCTAAGATTTTATTTATTTATTTGACAGAGAGAGGAGCAGAGGGAGAGGAGAAGCAGACTCCCCACTGAGCAGGGAGCACGATATAGGGCTCGACCCCAGAACCCTGGGATCATGACATGAGCCAAAGACAGTCGCTTCACTGACTGAGCCACCCACGTGCCCTAGTTAAATAGCATATCTTGGAGATCTTCCCCTACACATATCTATTTCTCCATTAATGGACATTTAGATTATTTACAGCTAGTTTTTTGGTTTCTCGTTGTTTTGTTGCTATTTCAATTCTAATTCAATGCAGTGAATTTCCTTTCACATAATTTTGGCATATCTGTGAGGTCAGTTTCTAGCAATGGAATTGCTGGGTCAAAGAAGCTCTACACTGAAATTTTGACAGATAGGGTCAGATGACTTTCCAAATGTAGCATCAATTTATATGCCCCATCAACAATATAAGAATCAGGGAGCCTGACGCAGGACTCGATCCTGGGACCCTGGGATCATGACCTGAGCCGAAGGCAGATACTTAACTGACTGAGCCACCCAGGCACTCCTAGAATGGATGTTTTTGATAAGTGTTCTTTGGGCTTTATTTTGATTCTGTTCAACGTTAAAGTCCAAAATAAGGAGGAATAATGAACACATTAGATAAAGTTACAAAACATGCAAAGATCTAGACACTTCAAAAGTGGTTAGTGCAAATAAGATAAAGTTTGAGATACATGCAGCATTTTGATACCAAACTTGGAAAAAAAAATAAAAAGTATGTGTCCAGTATTTGGGAGCCAATTTCCAATATAGACAAACTTCTATGTCTTTGTGCTTAACATAGAATTTTATCACATCACAGTCCTATGCTGGTTGGGCAGCTTTTCTCCATCCTGTAGTTGTGCCACCTGGCCTTGGCATCTTCTTAGGTTACCACAGCAAAAGGGATGCCTGGAAAAGCCTCACTAGTTCTTTTTTACCTTGCTCTTTCCTTTCCTTTTGCTGTGGTAGGCCAGAAGAAATGCCTTCTGGGGTCTGGGAAGTATCAAGGAGCACCAGGTTATTTGGGGAGCATCAGTCTCAGCCACTGTACCAACAGTAAACTCTTGTTTCAGGCTTCAGAAAGAATGGAACATAATTGCCCAGAAGTCCATTTGAGAAATGTTCCAGTGGTGTGCCTATCTCCCAAGTGAGCAGCGCAGTATGGCTGCATTACTAGAAGCAGATTGGAAACATCTTGGGAGATGACCCTATTTGTCTTGATTTGGGGTGCCACATTTTTTTTTTAAGATTTTTTAGACACAGGGAAGGTGGGGAAGGAGAGAGAACCCCAAGCAGACTGTGAATTGAGCACAGAGCCCAATGTGGAGCTCAGTCTCATGACCCTGAGTTCACAACCTTAGCTGAAACCAAGATCTGGACGTTTAATGACTGAATGACCCAGGTGCCCTGGGTGCCACATTTTAAGAGACTGATACTGACGATGTACTTAGTAACACAGTAAAGATGTGTTAGGATTTATAAATCTATAAATTTTGTCCAGAAGATTAATTCCTCCTTCTAAAACCTGCAGTGTCCTGGAAAATTTCAAAGACTTAAAGAAGAGGGTGATAGTTTGCAGATACAAAATAGATTTGTTCTGTGTTGTTTCCAGGGAGAGAACTGAACTGGGTTGATGGGAGTTTTAGGAAGATTTCTCTTAGAATAGTGAATATTTATTCTGCAACTTGACATTTTCCTATATCAAGCATAAACCAGATGACATCTGTGAAGATTATTACAGATTTTTTTTTTTGTTTTAATTTGACAGAGAGGTCACAAGTAGGCAGAGAGGCAGGCAGACAGAGAGGGGGAAGCAGAATCCCCACGGAGCTGGGAGCCCGTTGTGGGGCTCGATCCCAGGACGCTGAGATCATGACCTGAGCCAAAGGCAGAGGCTTAACCCACTGAGCCACCCAGATGCCCCTGTGAAGATTATTATAAAGAACATTCCTGTTTACCATGAGAAACTGGTCTCAGTAATTTCTGTGGCCTGTTTTCAAATCTGGGTCTTTTATGATGAATGTCAAATGAATATTCCTTTTTCTTTTTAAATAGGATACTGATGAAATTCAAGTTAACTATCCTGGGATGTTTGAATTGATGGAAGATTTACAAGGTAACACCCTTTAAAGAATGTTTAATATCTATTTGAGAGTCATTTTGAGAGCAGACTCAATGGCAGGTACTGGGGCTAAGCACTATGGATACATTGGTGAGGAGAGCACAGACTGTCTTCATGGAGCTTATAAAATAAATGGATGAGGCAGACATCACACAGCTGCCATAAAGATAAATGTTAAATTAGAATTGTGATAAGTGCTACTAAGTGGAAGTGCATAGTGCTGTGACTGCTTCTAAAAAGAGGGCAGGACTTTCTTGAAGGGTGCATCTGAGGCTGGTAGAGCACATCAGTGACTTTCTCCAACAACAGTTGGCAGCTCAGGTCTAGGCACAAGAAAGTGGGGTAGTTGGGCTAGTGTAGGTTTGGGGTTTATTAAAGGGATAAACCCTAGTGGGAGAGAATCAATGAAGTCACGTCTGAGGAAGTGGTGATTGTGCTCTAAAAAATGATGGTGAGTTAACTAGGTGAAGAGGGGAGGGAGTGAGTTGCAGGCAGGGAGAATAGCAGGTGCAAAGGCTCTGTGGCAAGAAAGAGCATGGCAGGTACTAAAAGCAGGGCATTTTGACTGGAGTACAGGGAATAAAAAGAGCATTAAATAATGAAATTAGTGAGTAAATGGGGACCTTTTGTCCCTTTTGAGATTGTCTTTATCTTAAAACCTGTTTGAGGCACTTAATGGAATGAGAGGGGGGATGTCATGATTCCAGATTTGCATTTTGGATAAAATGGATTGGCAGATCAACTAGTAGGGGAAACTCATTGTTGTAAAGCTTATTGAGAAATGATGGCAGCTTAGACTAAGGTGGTGGCCATGGAGATTTGAGAGAAGTGAATGGATTCTAGAGATAATTAGGATGTAAATTTGGCTGTCCTTGCTGATGGGTTACCTGTGGGTGCATGGAGAGAGCTATTTCAAACATAACTGCTAAGTTTCTGGCTCACATAACCAGACAGATGGTGCCCCTTCACTGACAGAGAAAATAGTAGAAGAAGACCAAGTACAGGCAGGGACACCTCTTGAGTTCACATGTGGGTATTTTGGGTTTGAAGTGCTTGTGAAATGTCTAAGAGGAGATGTCAAGTAGGTGGCTATGTGTGTGGGTGTGCCGTTTTAGAGGAGGTGATTGCCTGGTTAAAATATCATGAGTCATTTGTGAATTGGTGGTATTTGAAGCAATTGCCTGGAATGAGAGCATGAAGTGAGAAGAGAGCATGAAGTGAGAAGAGAACATGGCCAGATTCTGAGCCGTTAGGAACCTAATAGACAGTGACTGTGTAGAAGAAGGACGTGTCTGGATGTATTACTGAATGATGGCAGAGGCAGAGTAATGGAGATCCATCGGTGGTGGGGAGACTAAAGAATCTTGGAAACCATGGTACTGGTGATTGTTAAAACCGAAGTCACCTAAGGTGGTGGCAGGACTTTGGGTACAGATGGGACCTGAACCAGGTGCCAACCCTCCAGTAATGAGAAGAGGGACTGGGAGCCTGATGTCTGTGTCACAGCATGCAGGAGTGGGAGAAGGTGTTGGCCAAATAGTGTGAGTCTCAGCAGGGCAAGGGTTTTTAACAAGTTAGAGAAAAAAATGGCCTGGAAGAGGCTCAGAGGAACAACAGGGATGCAAATCCTTACCTCCTAATTCTGAAAGAGGTAAGGCACTTAGACATACACGTCTGCCAGAGAGGGCGCTGCTGGAGAAGTGATTTTCTCCAAGGAGAGCTTCGACTTGCCTAAGAAATTTTGAGCTTTGACTTTTTATTAAACAAATGGCATAGGCAGTTTTGATAAATGAGGGAAGCTGAAGCGATTAAAGGTATGTTTGTTAAAGCCAGAACTGTGCTTACCTAGGGCAACCTTAATCTGGATCCTGAAAAATGATAAGATGATTTAAGCAAGAGATTTGTAAGACTAAATACCTTGCTGTTGTTTACAGATACCTAGTTTTTCTTAAATGCTATTGAGTTGCTTCTCTGAGTAGTCCTCTGGTAACTATTTAATGCCTGTATTACAAGTGAGGAATGAATATGAGGCCCAAAGGGAACACTTGCCTGTTAGTGGCAGAATTAGGTGCCAAACTCTTGCCTTCTTGATTCCTGTTCTGGCACTCTCTTATCCAACTCTACTTCTTTTGGCTACCCCTTTATAACAGTCCATTTTACCCATCATGCAGCCTCCTCTGAGTATGGTACTTCTGTTGGCTTTACAAGGAGAAAGATATGTAGCTAAAAACTTACTACTATAGTCACTCTTTGTTTATTATAATTTAATACAGGGATTAAATTAATAGCATGTGTGCTTCAAGGATTGGATCTATGATCAATCACACATCCCTTCCCAGGCACTGCCCCAAACACTTAGCTTCCCATGATATAATCACGGAGCCCCTTCATCCAAAGGCCGGTGGTGGTGGGCTGATGATGTATCATTCAGACTCTAATGATAAAAATATTTCCCAAATGCAGCATTTTTTTTATTCTGCTATATAATAAATGCTATGCTCATGATTGATTTCAAGAGAGAAGCAAGAAAGAGACTAGAAATTAGATGAATCATCTGGAAAAGGTTACTACCCACTGATTTAAAAATACAGAACTTACTCTGTGCTGGGTGCAGTTCTGTGACATTTTCTGATATCCTGATTTTACAAGTGAGCAAATAGAGACATTGAGAAGTTAAGTATCTTGTTCATGGTCACACTGGATCTGGATCCGAAGTCTAATACTGCCTACTTAATCTGTGCGCATTTTTTTTTGTTGTTGAAGTTAGCATAGTATAATGCTCTAATCTTACCTGTATAGTTGCTTGTATTTTTAATCACTATCTATCTAGACAAGGACTAGAACATTTCCAGCCCCTCAGAAGGTTGCCTCATGCCACTATCCAGTTGAGAACCGCTGCTTCCCCCACAGGTTTTAAATGGTCATTTATTTTGAGGACCCGTTGCCTACTATTTACCTTAAGAGGCTTTGCCAGTGCTTCTCTTTTTTTTACTGTTAAGCCTTTTACATAAATCATATATTTTAGTCTTTGAGTCTCTTATCCTTAGGAGAATTAAGAAGAATTATGTAAAGATAACTTGTAGAAGTGGTATTTAACAAAGTAGATATGAACAGTACATGGTTGATTTTATATTCATTCCCCTACCATTTATTGAACATCTACCTACCATGTGCCAACTATGGAGCCAGTGATGAAATTACGTAATTCCTAATCTCAGGGAACATGTGCTCTAGTAGAGACACCAAAATAAAGAGAGAGATATAGCCATTTAACTGTAAAATGAGATAATTGTGGTTTAAAATATAGGGAAAAACAGAATCCCTAAATTTGCTTAAGGTGTCAGGGATGCTTTTGTAGAAGAGACAGGACCTAAGCTAAAATGAGTTTGCTAGGAAAGTGAGTCAGTGGGTGCAGGTTTGGGACATTGCCTTCCAAGCCAAGGGAATGGTCTGTGTAAAATCATGGAGATGCGAGAGGATACACAACTTCCTTCACTTTCCTAATTAAGAAACTCTACAGTAATTCTCTATTGCTTGAATATGTAGAATGGAGAGATGATGGGAAGTGATGCAGCATAGTCCACCAGAGGCTTCCAGATTTTATCAGGTGAGCCTGGTACTGTGGGGGAAAATTTCATACAGAAGAGTGACTGTCAGATCACTGTGTTAAAAAACTCATCCTCCAACATTGTTTATAAGGCATACTCTATGAGAAGGGTAAGACTAGAACTAATATAGTTCATTTCTCATGTTACACGAGTAAACTGAGGCACAGAGAGAAATTAAGTAACTTGCGCAAGGTGATATAAGTGATAGAGACAGGATTTAAGTCCAGTGTAGCAGCCTAACTCAGGTTCTGAAATCTCAACCACTCTGCCTTTAAAAGGTCAGAGGCAGCTGAGATGGGAAAAGGAGTAGTCCAGGGATGAATGGAGGAGGGGAGGAGCTTGGGTGACTACTTCCAGGTATTTTGCTTTGCCTACCGGAAGATGGTGTTACCTTCAGATTGTTTTTTGGTATTTTATATTGTTATACTTTTTCTTGATGTTGTAGTGTTTCTCATTTGAGCTGCCATTGTTATTAATTCACAGAAAAAAAGTCCAGAATGTTGACATAATTTTACAAAACAAGTGTGTATCAGCTGATGAATGCATGAAAAGTTTTGGAGGCTTTCACAGTAGTTTTAAGGTAAGTTCAATTTGTTTGTTTTTTAAAGACAATACTCAGTATTGTTCCTCATAAAGCAGAATAGACTAGATTTTTATACTAGCAGTTGAACTTAACCTTAAAAACACTGTGAGAGTCTGTAACAGTCACTTGCTTCCAGGATTTTTCTGTTATCCCAAAACCCAGGTCAGAAATTCCTAAATGTGTTTCCCAGATTATCTTCAGTAAAGGTCTACCATGATGCATTATGAAGTGCTGTCATTCCATTTTGAAGATGATAAAACTGAGTTTATAATTAGAGTTAAGTGACGTTGCCCGAGATTACTTAAGGATCAGAACTGGGATTATGATCCCAAAGTCTAGACTTTCTGCACCACACCACACTGCTACCATGTGGAGAAAGGAAGTTTGGTATGGTGGTTTGCTTCTCTTGTGAGGCAAGGGTGTGCTCCTCTAGCAGCAGAGTCACTGACTGTGTTACGCAGTAGTGTTCTTGAATTTCTTTATCAGAGAGAACACTATGCCTGATCATCTTAATTAGTATATCTAATACCAATTATTTAAAAGGCATTTTAGAATTTCTAGTGTATTAAGCATTCTCCCCATCCTCGTGTATTAAGTATTTACATTAAATAAATTAAACCTATTTTCCACTGGTATTGCCTATATCTAATGTGTAGTAAGTCATGACACTGGGAAGGTGAGCGGGAATGAAAGCACCACAGCCGTCATCAACTTAGAGTTTTTCAGTCCAGCTTCCAGTTTACCTCTGGTCACTTGATATGGTTGGTACTCACAGTGTAGGAGAATGTTTTTAAATCAGATTATGTAATAGGTCTCTAATGTTAGCCATGGAAGCCTTCAGAGATCATCTGGTCTGGCCACCTAGAAGACCCACAGCAATTGGTCTAAGGTCATAGCTGCGTCGTCGTGACAGTAAGAATACGATCCGCCGTTTTCTTCATGACAGTCTAGTTCATATGTCTGTTGTTTCATGAATTGGGGCTGTTGTACTCACAGGATGCTAGACATTGCTTTTAGTATTAGAGAATCATTATTTTAAGGAATAATAAGAACCTTTTGGGATTGGACAAAAAAAGGTTCACTTATTAGAGCTGATTTGTTGATTGTTTTTAATAAAGCCATTGAAAACTTCTAAAGAACAACTGATATTGGGAAGTTTGTTGGGGCCTATTTGTGAAAGGAGAAAAACAAAAGTAAGAACTGATTTTTGATGGTATGGTATATAGAGAATAAATGTAAAGGATTTTTACTTTGGAAATTTGTTTTAATTTCTTGGACTAGTTTAAAATGTGGCCTTTTGGTGGAATTTTAAGTATGTGCATAAAAAAATTAAATACACAGCACTCATTGTAGAAAAATATCAATCCTAGCTTTTAGCTATCAACTTGAAGAAAAGAAGTCTAGGGATGACTCGGTGGCTCAGTGGGTTAAGCATCTGCCTTCAGCTCAGGTCTTGATCCCAGGGTCCTGGAATCGAGTCCCACAATGGGTTCCTTACTCAGTGGGGAGTCTGCTTTTCCCTCTGTCTGCTGTTCCCTATTTGTGTGTGCTCTCTCTCTGTCTCTGACAAATAAATAATCTTTTTTTTAAAAAAGTCTAAAATTTTATGTATGTATATATATATGTATGTAGGCTCCAAACTGGACTTGGCTTAAAGGTGGGGCTTGAACTCACAATCCTGAGATCAAGACCTGAGCTGAATTACAGTCAGATACTTAATCTTAACTGAGCCACCCAGGTGTCCCAGAAGTCTAAATTTTAAAACATTAGGAAAAGTGCCCCTGTAAAGAATGCACATAATTTCTTCCTAATCTGGGAGTAAGAAAATATTGTAAAATCTGAAAACACATTGTAGTTTTGATACTGTCTAATGAATTTCAGAGCCCTCTCCCAAGTTTCACAGTCAGACATTAATGGCTTAGAGGGAGTGAGGCATTGTAGCAGTGCTCTGTCCTCTGAAGAACATCTAAAAGGGGCACGAAAGGTGGCATCCTTGGCAAGTTACTTGCAACTCCTTGTGACTCACCTGGAGGGTCAGTTGCCTTGCTTTTGCCCACCTGACCACTGTTAGCAAGTAAGGTGTGCTTATGGGACTTGCCTCCTGAAATTTGACTTCTCTGGTCTTAATATCCAGAAACTTCAAGTAGTTTTTGCCTTAGAGTCACTAAGGAGCCTAGCTACAACCTATTAGGGAATGGGGATGGGTACACTGTTGCATGTGAGGTTAAAATTGTGCTTTGAGCAGCTCAGCTGTTGGCGGTATTATCTAAAACTGCCTGTAGTGTATTTTTAGGTATGGGTGAGAGTAACTGTGCTTGGAATAGAAAAGGCCTGCTGCACCGAGACACGATGCTGGCAGCCGCAGCGGTGTACAGAGGTAAGCGAGAGGGCCGTCTTTCCCACCCTCGCCTCACTGAGGAACGTGTGCCCTGCCGGGTTTATCCCTTAAAGTTGTCAGTACTTTTTCCTTTCCCGTTGAGGCATCAGATTTTTTGTCCTTCCTTTCAGAACACAGATCTTGTAGTTCCATATCCTTTTTCCAAACAGCCCTTAACTGGTATTTCTGTCAGCTTCTCAGCGTTGTGGATTTTTCATGTAAGGCATTCTCAAAGTCCTCCAAATATCCCAATATCCATTTCTCTTCGGAGACATGACTTTTACTGAACAGATTTTTTTCCTCCTACTTCCATTTTTTTCAGATTGTAACCATTATTTGTCTTTATAGAAATGTACAAAAATGAGGATGGTTCAGTACCTGCCACATATCAGATCTATTACATGATAGGATGGAAATACCACGATTCACAGGTAATATTATTAAGACAAATCATTTCTCTTAGTGAGTTCATGTTTTCACTTACTTTTTATTTACATAGGGTGGGTTTTAAAAAAAATATGATGGTCAAATAAATTTTTAAAAAATCTAAAAAAAAATATGGCATTAAGGGATTTCATGTAGAGCTGCATATCTATTTCTAATATCTTTAATCCTTCATTATTTTCAGGCAAGACCAGCTGAAAGAGGTTCGGCCACTGTGTCATTTGGAGAACTGGGAAAGATAAACAATCTTATGTCACAGGGGAAAAAGTCACAATAAATATTTTATTCAATGTTAATGTAGTCCAGAATTTTCATCAAAGTTGTATGACCTTCACATTTAAACGTATTATATTTTGAAGCAAGAAGCGATCTATCAGCAATGTACTATTAGACTTGTAGTAATTAGAATAACCTAATCCTCATCTACATTTGGTAACCCTTTCAGTTTTTTTTGTTTTGTTTTGTTTTGTTTTAAAGATCTTATTTATTTATTTGACAGAGAGAGAGAGATCACAAGTAGGCAGAGAGGCAGACAGAGAAGGGGGGAAGCAGGCTCCCCGCTGAGCAGAGAGCCCGGTGTGGGGCTTGATCCCAGGACCCTGGGATCACGACCCGAGCTGAAGGCAGAGGCTTTAACCCACTGAGCCACCCAGGTGCCCAGGCTTTAAGTTTTAATGTGGTTTCTGTTTTCATATGGATACTGTTATCTGGTGATTCGAATGTCTTGTTTACAGATTCAGCCAAAAGCAGGAAGATATTTCAGTGAAAAAATCTACAAATATGTTCACATTTATAAATGCTGATTTGATGGAAAGACATTGCTCACACTGACATTTTGTACCCTTTTCTCCTGATCTTTTGTTATTGCCATGAGAGGGCGATAGCTATGGAGATGAGAGGAAGACAAGTTGATTGAGTATCTAGAGTTATGGATCATTTGGAATAAAAACAGTTTTTATAATGACTAAGTTATTCAAACTAAATTATTTGTCACACTGTCGTCTTTGTTGTGAAGACAGTATAGGGTTAATATGTCTCTCCAGAGCTATTACATAGTTTTATACTTCAGGAAAGTGTGGACCTTTATTGAATCTTTCCTCACCATTTTTTTTTTAAAGCATCTGAATTCAATCATTTCTTTTTTGCCTTCATGATCTGGGTAAGACCCTAGGGTTTTATACCCCATGCTACCTTAGGTAAGAAGGGACCATTTTAAAGAATTACAGAAGAAAAATCCTGTGTGAAAGTATCTGCACAGTGATGAAAAATCCTCTTTGTTGTTTGACTTTCCTTTGTCATTTCAGGCCTTTGACACTCTTATTCTAATCCAGGCCCACTGTCCCATTATCATCTAGTGGGGATCACCATCATGTGGAAGCAGTCAGGCTCAGACAACTTAGAATGGAGGGAAGAAGATGGTGATGAGGAAGCAGGGAGGAGGCTGGGAAGAGTGAGTGGCAACTTCCATTGCTCCAAGTTGAGTTAGGGAGTAGTGCTGACAGCTTTCTAACTGTGGGACCCTGAGCAGGTGTTTTAAAACTTCATCCTCACTGGTAAATGCCAGGTGAAATAAACCCAGCAGAGACAGGTCTATGCCAGTTCACATGGAATAAGGCACAAAACTAACCATATTTTTTTAAAAAAATGGTGAGAACTGAGTCTGATTCACCAGGCAGTAGAGAGCCATTGCTGTCCTTTACAATTCACCGTTTAACCAGGCACGGGCCCCAGCCCCCTCTTCAGCCTTAGTTAAGTTATTACAGTGTTTATCTCCCCCTGCCTTCTTTCCCTTGACCACACTGGCACCAAGCTATTCCTGGGTAGGGGCACAATCTGCCTTGTCCGCAGCATAGTGCTTTGCACATAGTAGATATTCAATTACATTTTAAATTAAATTAAATTATGGGGGAAAGTGTGCCCTTTGAAAAACTTAAGTTACAGTTAAAAACCAAGGTTTTATAGGAGAAAAAGGAATACCTATTCTTGCTGTCTTTGGGTAGGAAATATATCAATATTAGAAACTGGGATACTCTTTTTTTTTGAACCATATTATGCCTGCTTTTCACCCTTGTCCCGGGCTAATTTTATTTTATCAGTGTTCCAAGATTCATTGTTTATGCGCCACACCCAGTGCTCTATGCAATACGTGCCCTCCACTTTACCCACCACCAGGCTCACCCAACTTCACACCTCCCTCCCCTCCAAAACCCTCAGTTTGTTTCTCAGAGTCCACAGTCTCTTATGCTTCGTCTCCCCCTCCAAATCCCCCCCTCATTTTTCCTTTCCTTCTCCTCATGTCCTCCATGTTATTTCTTACACTCCGCAAGTAAGTGAAACCATATAATAATTGGCATTCTCTACTTGACTTATTTCACTCAGCATAATCTCCTCCAGTCCCATCCATGTTGATACAAAAGTTGGGTTTCATCCTTTCTGATAGAGGTATAGTATAGAAACTGGGATACTCAAAAACTCTTATTTTGTTTTTAACACAGGAAAATAATATTCAGGAAGTAAAGTTTGGTCAAGTTTTTAAGCTTAATTTTCAGAATTTGAAGGGAGAAGAGAAAAATAACAAAAAACCCTATTGTTAAAATTGCAAACTGATGACTGAGGAACGGATATACTATGGTGACTATAGTTCCTAAAGGACATGTGTTTTGTGTGCATTATTTGTTTTTTTGAGGAATGCATACAAACTTGTGAAGTGCTTATTGCTGAGGACTGTGACTGAGGAACTCAGTGTGTGTGCATCTGTCAGGTTTGAATGTCGGGTGCAGGAGGTGGCCAGAAGCCAGGAAGGAGCCTTGTACTTTTCATTTTTTTAATCTTTCTGTGAAATTTGAAGTTTCTTACCAAGAATATTACCTGTTTATTTCATGCTGATTATGGATACATGGATAGTGGGGTAGCCTGGGAAGGAGTCTACCCTGGGCTATTTAAAAAATAAATAAGATCATGGCTTAAAAAAACAAAGGAAAGAAAAACTAGCACAGCTAATTGAGGATACTTTTTGTTTAACGTGAGTGACAGTAGTAAAATTATTTTTTTAGTTAATATCTGCTTGAAGTATCTATCAAGCTTTAATTGTTTGAAAACCTCAGGCAATTCATTTTTCTGAATAGCTGTGTTTTCCAAGTGATTAAGATCTCATTCTTTTTAGGTAACAATACTTTATTTTTAAAAATTTATTTTTAAAAATTGAAGTATAGTTGACACATTACATTAATTTCACGTGTACAATATAGTGATTTGACAAGTTTATGTTATGTTGTACTCACCATAAGTGTAGCTACCATCTATTACCATACAATGCTATCACAATACCATTAATTATGTTCCTTATGCTGTACATTTCATCCCCAAGATTTATTCATTCCATAACTGGAAGACTGTATCTCCCACTCCCCTTTGCCTGTTTTGCCTACCCCCATCCCCCTCCCTCTGGAAACCATCTGTTCTCTGTATTTATGGGTCTGTTTCTGTTTTTGTTTCTTTGTTTTTTTAGATTCAACTTACACGTGAAATCACATAGTATTTGTCTTTCTCTACCTGATTTATTTCACTTAGCTTAATACCCTCAAGGTCCATCCATGTTGTTGCAAATGGCAAGAATTCATTCTTTTATGAATAACATTCCATTGTATATATGTATATAAATACCATCTCTTGATCCATTCATCTATTGATGGATGCTTGGGTTGCTTCTTGGCTATAATAAATAACACTGCAATAGGGTCACCCGGGTGACTCAGTTAAGTGTCTACCTTCAGATCAGGTCATGATCCTGGGGTCCTGGGATTGAGCCCTGGGCTCCCTGTTCACTGGGGAGTCTACTTGTCCCTCTCCCTCTGCTCCTCCCCATGCTTGTGTGTGCACTTGTTCTTTCTCCTTCTTTATCTCTCTTTCAAATAAATAAAATAACACTGCAATATACATAAGGATGCATATTATTTTTTTAATTAGTATTTTTGTTTTTTGGGGGGTAAATGCCCAGTAGTGGAATTACTGGATAATATGGTATTTTTATTTTTAATTTTTTGAGGAACTCCCAGTGTTTTCCACAGTGGCTGGCCCAATTTGTATTCCCACTGATAGCATATGAGTATTCCTTTTACTCCCCATCCTGGCCAACAATTGTTATTTCTCACCTCTTTGACTCTAGCCATTCTGATAGGTGCAGGTGACAGTTCATTGTGGTTTTGATTTGTATTTCTCTTGATGAGTGATGTTGAACATATATTTCATGTGGCTCTTAGCCATCTGTATGTCTTTGGAAAAATATCTGTTTGGGTCCTCTGCCCATGTTTTAATTGGATTGTTTGGAGGTTTTTGGTATTAAGTTGTATAAGTTCTTTATATGTTTCTGGATATTAACTCCTTATCAGTTGTATCATTTTAGTAATGATACAACTGTCTTCTCCTTTTAGTAAGTTTCCTTTTCATTTTGTTCATGGTTTCCTTCTTGTGCAAGCTTCTTATTTTCATATAGTCCCATGGTTTATTTTTCCTTTTGTTTCTCTTGCCTGAGGAAACATATCTAGAAAAATGTTTAAGCAATAATAAGTCCAAAATGTGTCACATTCTTGAACGGTGTGTAGGACATAACCATTTCTTTATAACTCCACAGTTATTATCATAAACTCAAGTTGTACTGTATTGCTTATTCCGACATCGGAATGATGTATTTTGTCTCTTATCCAACACTTTTTAAATTTACTGCCACTTGTCAATTTCATCAGCTCAGCAAAAATGAACTTTATTGAATCCATTCTACTTTCTGATCTATTAGAATTCAGATTAGAAGGTTTCTAGACTAGTGTGTAAGGTAGGAAAGAGGAGCAAGGTTTTAGGAAAAGGACTCTCCTTTGCAGTAAAATGCACTGGGTTTTATTGGTTCCCTTTGAGTCTCTTGTGCCAGGCTTCCAATTCGCTCTTTTTAGTTGTCAGTCTAACAGGGCTTCCATCTGTGGGTGCTGGGACATCTGTTGGCTGCTGGGAGACTTTGGGTTATTCTCTGGTTCTTAACAGTATTCCACATTGTTGGTATGGAGAGTTCCAGAAGTGGCAATGTATATGAAAATTTATATTTTTAAAACAAAGATTGGGGCACCTGGGTGGCTCAGTGGGTTAAGCCTGTGCCTTCGGCTCAGGTTATGATCTCAAGGTCCTGGGATTGAGCCCCGCATCTGGCAGGAAGCAGGGAGCCTGCTTCCCCCTCTCTCT